TCTTGTGGTATTAATTATAGCAAGGAGGTCTATAATACCTGGAGAGAGCTATTCGTTAGCGCTTCCAATCATCTCAATGGTAGTTGCTCGAAATATGTAACCTGCTTGCCACCGCTTAGCTCATGGGCAAAATTTTAATGGGATTTTTTTGTTTTAATGTCAACAACAACAAAAAAAGTCTTAAAGCACTGTGTGTGGCACCAATTGATAAAAAAAAAAGTTTATAGCAAAACTCCATTCGCTGCTTTGGATTTTTTTCACATCAGTCTCTCTTATTTGAAGCACGATCACAAACTCTGTTCCAAAGACTAATCAGTTGCTACACTTTAGCTACTTTTAAAAGAATACTTATTATGGAAACAATATACTAAAGAGCAATCTGAATTAACTGATTTTAAATGCATGTTAATTGCAATAATAGTTTATATTAAATGGAACTGATATAATGGTAAGCCCTAAATATGACAATCCCCTTATGAGCGGCACCGGCCCCCCCCAAAATATAAATTGTATAAAAACTCTTTTAATCTGTGTGATACTATAAAAACTAAATTTTTTGCATTAAAAAAAACAATTGTTTGCAAAATTCATATTTTTTTATATTGTTACTGCACTGCAAGCAAATTAATACTGGCTGTATTGTGTTTTAAAATCTTTTTTTTTTCTGCCCAATAATAAAGTGATGTTAGATGTATTAAAAAAAATCTGGCAATTCAATAAAAATTTATTTGTATAGGACTTTTTATGGTAAGTATCATTTAAAGGGATAGTTCACCCAAAAGTGAATTTTGATTCTTCAAAATTCCTCAGAATATCTTCTTTTGTGTTCAACCTAAGAAAGAAACGTACACAAGTTTGGAACGACGTGAGGGTGAGTAAATGACAAAATGTTCATTTTTGGGTGAACTATTCCTTTAAGATACTTTTCTGAGTTTATTGCAATGTATTTAGCCTTTTTTGAATGTGATGCTCTATTAGATTTTGATTTTAGGTAAGATAAGGTACTGTAATATAATTTTACTGCCACCTGAGCTTTTTACATCAGGTGTACACAGGGGCGTGTCTAGAGCATTTTAAATGGGGGGTCCAGTCGGGGGCACTGTCTCAAAAGAGGGTGGCCGGGGAGGGGGGGTTGTGTTTGCGGAACGATGTATGTTATAATGTTATAATACTTTTTAGTGGTTATGAGCACTCTTTGCAAGCTTTCTAGTCAATAATCCATTTAAAATGTAGCCTAGAACTTTGTTTTTCGGCCACACACACGTTGCAAAGTTTCGGGAATGACATCAGTATATTTATGCAGGATTCACTCTCGAAGTAGCAGTGATTGACATAGTGATAACCATAGCAACAGACGGGACAAAATATGTGAAAATGTGCATTAAGACTAGAGCACCCTCACTCATTTCAGAAGCACCCTCAGTGATTATTTCTGGAACCTGGTTGATACGCTTTTATTGCAAAACTATATACAAAAACAACAAAATACAAATGCACTAAATAAAATAATTGAATAAATGCATATTTACAATTTAAGCACTTAATAAGTAGGCTATTAATAAAATAAATAACTAGAGAAGGCTGACTATAATCAGCTTGCTTCCATTTAGTGAGATAAGCCTACTCCTCACCTGAATTAGAAAAAAAGCTCTTCGTCTTCAGTGATGCGAAGACAACGTTTGAGCCTGTACACGCAATATCTGAGCGAGAGCAGAGCCAATTCATAAAAGAACAATATAAATAAATACACAATATGTAATATATAATAACAATATATAATATATAAATACACAATATGAAGACTCAAAAGACCACTAGTAAAATATTAATAGACTAAAATGTATTTGAAATACATCTATTTCATGTTAAGTATACTACAAATACATTTACATATTTATGTACTTAATAAAAATACCCAGAAATTGTACTTTTAGTATACTAAACTGATATACTTAAAGTCTGCTAAATTGGAGCAACTAGTTTTGTACTTAATGCACTTTAATTGTGCAGAAGTAGTGCTGAAGTCCAACTAAAGACATACTGAAGTATATTTGATTGTGCTAAAGTGGAATTATTGCAAGTATACTTCAGGTACACTTTAAATATCTTGTATTTAAAGACCGAAATTATTCAAAGATCATACAGTCCTCATCAATAGTTACATCAAAACACATTTTAGGCTTAATATTAAGAAATGTGCATTGTGCAATAAAGAAATACTCCAAATAAATTTAATTATAATTTTTATATCAGTAAGTTTCGAGCGATATGTCAGTAAATATGTCAATAGATTTGGACTACTTAGTATGAAATAAATGTATTTTAAATATATTACTTTTTCACTAGACAACTTTTAAATAGTTCTTTGACATTTCTTCATTGCCTAGTTGATAGTTATGCCTTTTGCAGGTGCTTTTACCCAAAGCAATATTGCTTTCAAGGTATACTTTTTTCAATGTTCTTGAAAATGGGAAGAAAGAAAAACCGTAGTAGTTGTAAAATATGTGCAGGGAGATTCAGGTGTGAAATTCAATCTAATATTTAAAGGGGTCATATGATGCGATTTCAATTTTTCCTTTCTCTTTGGAGTGTTACAAGCTCTTGGTGCATAAAGAAGATCTGTAAAGTTGCAAAGACTAAAGTCTCAAATCCAAAGAGATATTCTTTATAAAAGTTAAGAGTCAGCCACACCTACCTAAAACGGCTCGTTCGAACACGCCCCCACATACCTAC